AGCACAAGCAATTTCTATCTATAAACCAAACAGGACATTGAGATCCTGTAATTTAGATTGTGCTGCTCTACTGACAACCACTCACAACACATATCCAAAACGTCTCAGGTTACGACTGTAACCTATGTTCCCTGAGAATAGGGAACGAGACAATGCGTCAATGACGTATTGTTGAGTTCCCTTCGAAAGGGAACTGGACAGTAAGGCCCTGACATCATGATGCGACTTTTGCATGAGCAAGCACAATCATATTTTCCTCAGAAAATTTAAATGTCTAGTTTATTCCTCTTGTACGCTATATCGCCAACGCATCTAGCCCCCCATCTGAAATGTACAAATCCACAGTCTGACACCGAGAATTACTTAAACAACCCTGAAGCTGTAACATAACTAAAACATATGGCTGTTTCAAACATTCAAACACACACATATGATGCTCTGACCAGTCTCTGACCCCTTTAGGGTCTCATATGGAGCTTTTAACAGACTGTAAAATACACTATATGTGTTATTCAAGGAGGACAGATTCTCCATGGCATGGACACTAATCATAAAAAATTTAAGAATATATTTGAAAAACGGCCCAGAATCTGTCATGTACATTTTGTAAATCACATCGTATTACAGAAAAAAAATAAAAAACTGAGACAGTGTTCAGACAAGAGCTTGTTGCTTGACTGTTTCACTGAAAAAAGAGACAGATCTAAGCCACAAGAGGTTCTGATGTTTCACCGTGGCTCAGTCAAGGGTCTTTAGAAGACGTTTAGTTTCATTTCCTTCCTCCATCCCATTTCCTCATTTCCCCAGCGAGCGTCAATGCTCGGAAACTATCTGCCCAACAAGTGGGCGTCAACATTCGTGTTTCCCCCTACAACCTAGAGATGAGACAGTGACTATCAGGCATTACAATGAACGTGTGAAATACTCACTTGCCAGGCTTTTTATTTTTTAAGTTTTATGTACCTAGTAACAAAAGTAGAAGCGTTACATACAGTATTTGCATATGTACTGTAGTTAAACCTCACAAAATTTACTCTCACTGACATCTGTTGATATCTAAGTTCTGACGCCCTGCCAAACACCTGTTGCCATTTCCTTCCACTCTTCACAAAAGTGCACATGTTAAACGAAAGACACCCATTACCCAGCCACTGTCTGATCAACGCAGTGCGTGAGAAAGGCACTTGGCTTTGTGGCTTCCTCAAACTTGCACTTCCACATTTCAAACCTGCCCATAAAGCTACTGTGTTCTAAACCTGTACTATATGTAGGCCCAAATAGAATCCGCAGACTGCTGTTTCATTTCTATGATGGTGATAAGCCTATATAATATAATATATTAAATAATAAATTATTCATAAAATATATTAAATTATATAAATAAATTGTAAAATAAATTAAAATAAAAACCAAAATGAAAAATAAATATTACTATTTTAACTGTAGGCTACACACAAAACCGAGGGCTACCTCGGTATTTTGGTATTTTGGTACTACCGAGCCCAAAATTTTGAACAACAGTGTAATTATTGTAATAGCCTATTTAGGCCATCAGAAAACTAACTTTGCCATCATATATATATATATTATAAAACGGTTAGTTCGAATCCTTGATTCTGATTGGTCAAGAGCTGTGCTTTATTCACAATAAAACACGGCTATGACCGATTCACCCAACGGTTCTATTGATCGCTGCGCAACACTGCAGTTCTATGTTGTTTTTATTTGAGCTTTCCTGCATATTACACATTGGAACGTTGTTGCTGTTCACGGTCAGGGACTATTTTTTCTAGCGGAAGGAAGGCTTTTAGTGATTTTACTTCAAGAAAGTTGCAGTAATACATTGTTTTTTACTTTGATATTGTGTGGCAACCATTTTATAAAAGCAATAAGGTACTCGAGGCAAGTGCTGTATCGTGAATAAGTAACGGCTGAAGGGGTTGCAGGCACTCCGCTTCGCGTCATGTCTAACAATGCCCTTCAGTCGTTACTTTTCACGATACAGCACAGCCTCTCGTACCTTATTGCTTACATACTGTATAAACTTGTGAGGTAACGCAACACTGCTTCACTTGGTCTAACGTTACATTATCACACTAAACGACATTTAAATGTGCGTTGAAAGTTATAATGTTATACTACGTGTTAGTTCGTTTGCTATACGAAACTAGCAGTAAGCTAGATCCACATTACAATAACAGTTGACCATATTCTAACATTTCATCATGTTGAGCTAACATTATATAACATTGGTTTGTTTTATTTACATTTGCTCACCTGTCTAATAAAGCTGTCAAGTCGTGACTCGTGAATCTACGTCAAGTCCAAGTTAGTCGCGGACGTGGATCTCTCGGCATCTCAAAAATGCCACGCTTATATTGATCCTCATTTTATTTCTCCTTGTTTGTCCCAAAGTCTGCTTGCCATGGTCTTTGTTTGAAAGAAACAAGAACTGCGTGCCACTAAATGTTACGCACTACGCAGTTGTCCACGTCTGTCGCCATGGTTACGTCATGCCTATAGCAGTATTAATCGAAACCGAGGATAACGCGGATATTGCGTCATTGACAGGTAATTTTTAAAAAAATTTTAAATTGGAATTTCTCTGAAATAAAAAATCTTTGAAGGCTTTTAGGATATTGTAAGTACACAACTGCATTTATTACAAAATTCTTACATATTGTACCTTTAATTGAACAGCTATTAGGCTTGTTCAACTTGAACCAGCGCTGCACTGCACAGACCAATCACTTTATGACATCAAATTACAGCAAAAGCGATTCAAAAGCATATGGAGCCGTCAAAACAGTTGTGCAGTTAAATATATCTTTAATGGATACAAAGTTCAAAAGAATATTATTTATTTAAAATATAATAATTAACAATGTAAACAATCTACGTCTAAAAAGTATTAAAGAAATCTTACGACCCCTGACTTTAGAATGGCAGTACAATTACACATATGTACATATATAGATATAATTAGTTTCAAGGTATCTTCCTCAAAATTGCCTGTCTAAAATAGTGTAACCCCTCCATCCCACAAAAACCTTTCTTTCCTCGAACATCAACATTAATGCAGAAATTTCAGGGACGAATTATATTCACAATATTTTATGTTTTAATTACACGCCTATTTTGGGGTGAAGAGAAAACCAAAGTGCCCATTGGGCCCTGGAGGTGCTCTGATGAGGTGAGGGGGGGGACTCCAGCTTTTAGTTTGGTCTCATCACTGCTTTTGTCTGATATGTTCCCCTGGGACGGCTGCGTCTGTGTCCCATGTGCTGTAATGAGTCTTTGATAAAATAGCTGCCAAAAAAGTCATGAATAATTCATGCAAGGATTCAGATGTTGCCCTTTAGAGATGGAAATTTCACCTCCACGCACAAAACACTGGTTTACACAGACCATTTGCTCATTTTCTTTCCCTTTTTTGCATATGTTAGTTCACTATGGAGTTCTTTCTTTGGTGAATGGAAACAAATCTACGCATGTCAGTGCAGATGAAAATCATCAGATAAAAAACAAACAAACTATGATATAACAAACCAAATGAAAACAAAGCAGCCTGTCTGATGTAACCAGAAGCAAGGGGATGCCTCAAAGCCAGATTGACATTTGCTGTCATTTTGATCATATATCAAACTTCCACAGAATATTTATATAATGTATTTAACATCGTGTTTTTAATTGTCAGTAAACCAGTGAACCGAACAAGGCCTGTGTTTTGAAAACTAAAAAAATGATTCTATTGACTTTTTTTGGAATCCGCTCACTGTGACTGAGCCACATTGACAAATGTAATGCAAAGTGCATGTGTGCCCGTCTAGTTATTGAGCATCCGTGTGCTTAAAAATAAGGTTTGTTAATAGTGACTGTGAATATTTGTCAGTTCTATGAAATGTCACTGTGTTGATGACAGCTTTCACCTCATGTGAGGAGGACATGAAATCAAGTCCAGACTTTGAGCAGATGGTGTTTCACAGACACATTTTAGAGGCCACTGTTTTCAATAAAGCAGCTTCCTGCAGACATTGAAACTAATCCTGTTCTCACCTGACAAGAGTACAGCGAACGAGACCAGACTAAAACAGCTTTCATCTGACACTGATCCTGACCGGAACCAAAAAGCTGTAGATTCGTGGTTTTGGTCAAACAATGCATTAAAAAGCACTATGTCCTATTAGGTTCAATTTAGGGCCGTCAAATCGATTAATCGCTAGCATAAAAGTTTGTGTTTGCATAATACAAGTCTGTGCATATATATTTTTATATTTATATTTATCCTGACTATGTCTGTATTTATTATGAATATGTATACTGATACACAATACACACACATATACTGTATATTGACTACAAAGGAAAAATCTTAAATTAAAGGTGCACTCAATTATTTTATGTTTGTGTTAAACTAACATAATAGTTATGTTTTTACTTCATAATTGTATTGTTTTGTTTTGAAAAGCATCTTAAACCCTGGCTGAAAGTAGGTTTACAACATATATTATTGTCAATATTAACAGAAGCAACTGAATTATGTACCCCAGCTAGTCATGTGACCTCAACATGTTGGTGTCCATGAAAAGCCGACCATAATTCAAATTCTTACTTTATTATGTGATTGGAATTTTATTATTATTTTAAACATATTTTTAAAGGTACTGTTTCCTTTGTAAAACGTTTCAAATGAAGAAAAAACTACTGAGTGTGCTTTAAAAAATAAGAATCTTTCTTCATAATGTTACTGCGTTGCTCACATTCACCGATAGGGGGCGGAATTCAGCACACAAATAACGGTACAGCATTGGCAAAATATCAACTTTCTTTTGCAAAATATTTCACGTGCAAGTAGCTATAAAGCAGTAACATCACCTTTTTTATAGACATGACATCGTATGTTTCCAAAAAAACATATGCGTTTAACTGTTATTATTGAGTCTATTCTATTCTTACAGTAAACATACAACTTCTTGTCTTCGTGCATCTCTTAACGTTACCTGTGACATCTGTGGTCTCAGGTTGATCTCCCTCAGATTGAGGGACTGGGGTCTTAGGTTGTTTAGGAGCTGGCACAGGAGGACCCCATCCCGCAGGGTCTGCGCCAGGTCGAACACCTGAGCGGACTCCCATGTCACCCGATGGTTCGGTGGCAGCACCTTACAATTGATCAGCCATAATGCACACTGTCTCCAATGCTCCATCCTGTCCAGCGATACACAGAACAAGATTAAACACCAATCCAAAACCAAAGCGCAATTGGCGTCTCCTCATCCGATGCGCATAGCAGAATCACGGGCGATATAATAAATGGATGGTGTTTCCAAGGTTGGAGCACCAGTGGAGAGTGACTGATCCGTGTACTGCTGCTCTCCTCATTCGCTCTTTCACCTCTTCTATTCGTTCTCCCCTCCCCGCGCCCTCCCTCTCGCTCTCTCTCTCGCTGTGTCTTCCTGCTTTAGATGTTCCGTATATTGCGCTGCTGACTTGACACCCGGAACACCCAGAGGACGTAATATATAGTGGCCGCAAAATTACAGTAGCTACGTCAGGCTGCAAATTGTGAGGTGGATTATCAAAACAAAAAAGTAGAAGGGTTCTCAACTAAGTAAGCTATTTTTTTTACAAATAAAATATATTTCAAAAGTTTTTAAAAAGCATTTCAGTGACCAAACAAAATGGATTTTCAAGCTAGCCAAAGTTCACTAACTACGTTGCTTTCGCCTGACGAAGTAACCACAGCAACGGCTGCTCGTGCGCTTTCTGTTCGCTACGCCATTATGACGCAAGTAATGTATTCACACCGAAAATTCCAAAAATAAAAAGTGATGCACTAATTTAACGGATCAAAAAGAAAAACAAGTGTGGAACACTTAATTTTATTTATTTGTTTGTTTGTTCGTTTGTTTGTTTGTTATTATTTTTTTGATTCTATGAGTCACATTACAAACAATGAACATGTCAACGTATAGTATAAAAAATAAGAAACAAATATAGATGCTGCATCAGAAAATCCGATAGCCTAGCCTATAGGCGAAAAATGTGACAAAAGAAGTATGTCTGAATTCACTGTAGGCTTCTCCTAAAAGTAGCCTAGACAAAAAGTACACAGATCACCTACTTCCAGCGAGATTTTGAAGTGTGCATATGGACACTTTACTATCCCATGAGGCCACGGGAAAGGATTTATGAATGGCAGTGAAGCAACGCAACTGAAGCTGGTATAGTTCATGTGATAAGGGCAACATGAAAAATGTAGTAGTACGTCCAGATTACATATTACACACGTTCATACTAAATAGAACATACTTTTTTAGCAACAGTGAAGTAATTACTCAAAAGATTTACCTACTCAAGAGAGTATGTAGTGTAAGTGTAGTGTGTCATTTGAGACGCAACTTATGTGTATATTGGACGGCAGGCCTATAATAAAAAAGGTTCTGTCATTATTTACCATATCACTTTCGCATTTACATATCCCAAGCATATTAAAACGTTAAAATATTTAGACATACAGGCCTATTTGTTCACCTCATCTGCAGTTTTTTACATTCAGTAAAGTTTGAATGAGTGTTGGCTGAAGAGAGCATTCTCCAGATAAGCAGTAGTGAAACAGGATGATGTATAGTCATGGATATCCTGTTTCTGTCTCTCTACTCCTGTCATGATGAACTCAAGGAGATCTATATTCAACACTACCAAGAATGTGCAATTTCACTTCAGCATTAGAAATCATGAAATGAAAATGCATGGTCACACTTTGGCACTGAAGTCAACTGTTTGAATAGAACTAAAATTAAATAAAAATTAAAAATTAAAATAGTAATATTGGCCTTTAAGCCTGCAGAAATAACATTTCCAGCAATTACTGTACGCACCCCGAAATCGAAATTGACAATTCTTGTTTTTTAGTGGAATATTTATAAATTATTTATCCGTGTATATCATTGTTCTATTTTATTCATGTGCCCTCATAATCTTTAATCAAAAAACTTCCCCTTCCTTTTGCAGCAGCATCTCATCTATTCTTTGATGATGTGTTTACTGGTGAGAGGGCGGGACAACCTGTCACTCACATGAGATCGACCAATAGAGAACCATCAAATCAATTCCAGACAATATCAAGCCCCACCCCAAATTTTTCTTCTTCAAGATGACATTTCTCTTGGATACATCACAATAGGGAAGAAAATACTATCATAAATGAAAGCTTTAGTGTAAAGTTCTGCCAGGAAGACTCAATATTATGTCACTCATTACTTTCTGGTCTTTCTGTAACGGATTATTGTCATTTGAACAGTATTGTAGGCTACTGTAATATGTACAGTATAAATGTGCCAACAGTATAATACTGTAAATAGCCAAGGAAAATATGTGTTTACTATCGTAATTATTGTCTACTGTAAATCATAAAAAAATCAAATTATGTAATAGGAAATCAGTTCTGATACTGTAAATAAAAATACAGTAGTTGAACTCATGAATGAACTTAAAATATGGTACTTGTACTGTAACTGAAATTACAGTAATGATACTGTAAACACTTTTACAGTAACTTACTGGCAGCTTTACTGTAAAATTTACAGCAACCTTTTTACAGTGCAATCACTGGAAGCAGATGATGACGCGAACATTCACCTCCTCCGAATGCTACGGACGGGGCCTGCGCCAAAGAACTTTACCATCCAATATTTCTGATTTCATTTTCTGGTCTATTAATAAATAAATGTCATTGTGATTTCATCTCGCTTTCCAAATCTTTCTGGTAGAACATCCTCTTTATGCTGACTTTAATGTGTTTGAATTGACTTGATTAGATTAGTTATTTACATGTTCAACAGACGCCAGCCAAGATGTTTCCATGTTTTAGAAGGCTGCCGTGAGAGAGACGATGGACCAGGGGGTCTTGAGCGTGCCGTGACAGTAAATTAAACCATCTGTCTGTCATAACTAAGATGTGATAGGAGACTAATAAGCTCTGGGTGGAATTCTTTATTTATTTTCCTTCTGTTTTAGGGTTGACCGGGGGGAGCTCGGCTGGTGTGACGCAGATGCTACAGCGTACCACATTTCCTGAACCCATGCTGCTTCACTCATCACCCAGGTTGGGTTGCTATCCCATTTAACACCGGTTTGGAAGGGATGGACACCTCCATCAATCACAGATCAATCCCCAGAGAGACTATCAGACTGAGTAATAGCACGAATCAGTCTTACTGTGACTGTTTCCACATGGTGGGAGGGGTTTATCTGTAAAGCAATGCTTTGCGATTGGCTGGGGAAGAGAAAGAGGAAGCTTGACAATGTGGCCCAGCGCAGGAAGGAAGTGGAGAATGCAGGATGTTTGGAGCCAATGTCTATCTCTGTTTCCCTCCACAATTTTAGGGACTTGGCACAAGGCAGATAGCCCCCTCTGAGCTGACAGATGATCAAAGCGTCACACACTTGCCAAATGCCCAGAGAGAGACTATAGCGCTCTGCCACATTGCTGCCATTCCAATAACCGCCATCCTTGCATGACCTGCATTGTGTAGGTAATTTATAGCCAGACGCGGCGTGCTAACGACACTGCATATGGTGACAATACCTGATGACTGGCATCATGATTATATTTCACAAGCAAAGATCAAGGTTGTGTTTGAAACTTAATACAAACGTCTGTAAGATTACACAGTCAATTGTTACTTACTAAAAAGGTATATTAGGGGTTCAATATAAGTTAAAGAGATAGAAAATTCGGTCATCCTTTATGTCATTCCAAACCTGTATGCATTTCTGTCTTCTGCTGAACATAAAAGAAGATAACCAAACAGTTTCCATTCACATTGACATCCGTTGTAGTTTTGTCCATACAATGGAAATCAATGGAAACCCAAAACTGTTTTGTTTCAACATTCTTCAAAATATCTTCTTTTGTCTTTCACAGAAGAAAGGTTCAGAACGACATGAGTGAGAGTGTTTAAATTAACATTTAAACAGCTGTATAACTTATTTAATAATACACACTTTTTACCAAAATATTAATGTTTATAAAATAATAAGCATCACATTTAGGCCTTTATGAAGTCAAATAATTTCGATATAGTTAATAGTTCAATTATACGCACAATTGAACATCAGCAAATTGCTTTCTGAGAAAAAAAAAAGGTAATGGCCCTTTACTAATATCTAGATGAAATAATTTTAGTTTAAAAACCATTTGCAGAAGTATTGATCCATGTGCAGTGCAAATAGTCCACTGCAGAAATCAATAACCAGAGACCCCCGGAGGAACAGCGCCAGACATCTGATAGGGTTTCTCGGGCATAGAGCTGTCAGCTGTGCAAGGACAGGGGCAAAGCACCGGACGATAAACAAAGATGAACATATAATAGAGACAGCTAAAGTCGAAAGTCACAAGGGTCACAGGTCTGTAATCGTGAGCCACAAGGCAAGTAAATAAACAAAGAGCTGCCATGAACACACCGTTCAAAAGTTTAGGACTTTTTAAATTGTTTTGGAAAGAAGTCTCTTGCTCACACAGTAAAACAGTAATATTGCAATACTATTACAATTTAAAATAGATATTAAAGTGCAATTTATTCCTGTGATGACAAAGAAGAGCATGGTCCTTCAGAAATATTCTAATATTCTGCTTTGCTGCTCAATAAATACTTATAATTATAATCAATTAACATGATCGTGAAGTGGTTTGGGTGTACAGTAGTGGTACATATGAAAGCGTTATATACTGTAAATGCCTCATTCATTCATTAATTCATTGATTCAATGTTGAAAACAGCTGTGCTGCAATTTTCTTGTGGAGACGGATACATTTTTCAAGATTCTTTGAAGAATAGAAAGTTCAAAGTACCGCATCTATTTCAAATATTTTTACATACTGTTGTGATCTGTGAAAATTGAATCTTCAAAATTTTGATTGTCAGGTTTTAAAAAAAAACACTAATTTAGAAGTGCTCCCTCTATTGATGGATTAATATCCCTTCACATTGACTGGATCTACTGTTTGACTCGGCTTACCCTTGTCTAAAATCAAACGATGTACGATGTTGAGCTATTATTGTAAACATACTCATGACTGACTTCTGTTGTTACAGTACTGTAAGTACAACATTACTATAGTTAAAGCCTTGAGTACCTAAAATGATTTACTAACCATTAAGGGCTAAAAACATCCATTATAATGTTTGTTCTGTCCTTCTAAGATATAGACTCTTAGGAAAGTAAACGGTTGATACCAATAGGAAATAACCATTCATTTCATACACTACAATCTATAAAAGACCACTGGGTCTATGTGGGGTGAACTGTTTTAGGGGGGTCAGGGGTGTGGATAATGTGACATGACAACATGTTTAACAGTAATATACAGGACAGCAAAAAGAAAAAAAGAAAGAGAAAGAG